AAAATACATTTTTCTCCCACTTCAAAAATAAGGAGATGATTTCCAAGTGTAAAGTTTTGCAACCTGATCATTCTCTTCTCATACAAAGCATAACCCTTCTGTATGTATGCATTATAAGCATAACAAAAAAGCAGCAATCACATACAGGACGATGAAGCGTGGGCTAAAGAAGCTACTTAGCAAACCATCATTAGCTTATCTTTATTGACATATACAGTATCTAATCTTTGTCACAAAAGATTGGGTTTTTATTTGGGGGAACGTGTGGGAACTGAGTTTCAGCCGGCAGGAAGAGCAGCTCTGGAACGTCCTACAGCGTGCATCTTCATATACCATGGGGAGGTCCTTAAAAAAAAAAACGCGCTAGTATCTTTGTTTCTAATCTACTATATAGAGGATTTTTAGTTTTGTAAATACTTATGTTACATGCACTGTTCATAGTAAATTTGTTTTGAAATGCACTCGTTTTGTGATCAGAAACTGGCCTTCACTTCTGAACTGAAATTACAGTACTTGATTGTATTGATCCAACTTCAATAAATCTTATTTTACAGAGATTTATTTGTGTTTCCAATAGTCACCTGCTAACATACATACATATATTTACTACTCATCTACATAGCAACCCGCCTTTACGTCCCTACATTGTGAAATGAAAAAAAAAATAATAATCAGAAGGCTTATAAGCCAACAAGCATGTAATTACCTCTCTAGTTAAGGGCCAGAATTACTGCCAACAGTGCATGTGAAAACAGGCCTCTCCTTCCTTGGAATGCAATCTTGAAAAGAGAGAGATTTGGCTTGCAATCCCCAGATACCAATTCCAACTGGGTTATTTCTTCTCTTGAAAACAAATCCCAAATTCCCCTGAAATGGAATTCCTGTGAAAATATAATACTTGTGAAAATAAATATAAGACTTGGTAGGACTACGTGTCGATCTGCTCCCTTTCTTTCTAAAATGGTACTCCAGGATGGCGCGGCCTTGGTCAAAGCAACAGGTCAAAAATGTCGACTAAAGGAAACGGGTGCATTCTGTAGTATGACTGATGCCCTGTCTCTTGGCAGGCATGTCAAGATGGTCCAGGACATTTTCTGAAGGAAAGTGGCATGACTTCCTGGGCCCCTGTGTACAATTCTCATAGAAACGGAATGAACATGATATTGAAGGACCCCAAGATGGCCTTCCTAAACACCAGCCCTCAACTCTATTTACATTGCAGATGGTTGGCCCTTGGTAAAAGGGCGTGTAGCAAAAGAACATCTGTCCAAGGCAGTGTGTCTCGACCTCAGCAACTTTAAGATGTGTGGACTTCAACTCCCAGAATTCCCCAGCCCACATGGCTGGGGAATTCTGGGAGTTGAAGTCCA